ACTGTGGTCTTTAATGAATCGGTCCTCTCCCTCAGCATCGAGCTATTCCTATAAGCGCATAGGAGGTCCCGGCTTCGTGGGGTACTGCTCGTGAAATTCTTAAATCTTCTTCGGTGCATTCTTAAAATTACTAGCAGGATACCACTATAAGTCGAGGTCATATCTAAGCCACTATACTCGATAATGTAGTCTCCGGTAGTACGTTCTAACGTCGAGGATCTTCTCGACTTCCCACTCGTCTGTTTCTCCGATTTTTATTAGTGGCGGAGGGTTAATATATTACCCTCGAAGGGGTTCTGTCGTTACGGCTTTTCGAAGCTTACTTAGATAGAAGACTGGGTATACTCGAATCGTCTTAGGTAGTTCTAATTTATAGGAGTTACCCACTTTCTTAATGATCTTATAGGGTCCGCTAGTAAGGTGAGAGAGCTTCCTACTTAGTCGATCTTAAAGCTAGTCCTTTATTATAACGAAAACTAAGTCACCTACACCGAAGTCTTCTTCCCTCCGATTTTTATTTACTTATCGGATTTATAACTATTATGACTTCGTAATTTACTCTTTAGTTTTAGTCCAGATATCCTATAGCTGAGAAAGTATCTAACGTATTTCACTACCGAGTGGGCCACCACTACCGAGTGGGCCACCCCATCTAACCTACCAATTTTAAATGCATTTATCTCAACCAAAACGCCATTAAATTAATTCAACTAACTAAGTGGTCTATCTGGACATGTTTCTCTTCTATGCCCTGGCAATCTGCATATTCCACACCCCCGGGGGGGCCGCGTACGTGGCTGAATAGTTGATTCTCTAGGCATGCCGGGGCCGGGGGGAGGTGCTTCAATTGCTTCTTGTTGCTGCATAATTAATGCAGAGGCTTCTTGAACTGAAAGGCCTTCTTCGGCGGGTATCTGCTTTCGGGATCGAGTACGCTTTTGCTTCTGCTTTTCGTTAGCGGCGCGTAATTCCTTGTTTTCTTTAGCGAGTAAGATAGCACCTTGCATTGTAAGACGGAAGCCTTTCATAAGCTGGTTTAATGCACGATCTGATGGGCTAGGCGGGCTTCGAGATCTTGTACGAAGTAAAGCTTTGATTAATGAAGCCTGACGACGTAGATCTTTCTCTGTAAAAGGGGTTTTTAGTGTAAAATTCCGGCTTAATTCACTACCCCGGCTAGCTGGGGGGGTTGGAGTTCGAAGCCGAATATTGAGCTTTAAAATCACTCTCTCCGGTAAAAAGGGGACTAAACCGGCTGCTCGGAAGCTATTTTTAATAGTCTCCGATTTAAAAGCTTTAATTCGTGCGAGGGGGTATGCTTCGAGGAAGTCAAGCTTATCGATATGGTTGATCCCGTTCCGCATTTTGGTTTTAACCATCCGACCGTACGATCGTTTTAATACCGCAAAACAGCCAATATCCAGAGGTTATAAAAGATGAGATGAATGTGCTGGCATACAGATTGGTATCACCTTATTTTGCTCACAAATTTCGTCAAATTTAGGCGTTAAATGACTTCCGTGGCCGTTAAGTACTAGAAGCCGATACCCCCCTTCGTACGCGCAGAAGTACTAGGAATAAAGAGCTTTTCTAGCTAACGGAGTCTAATTTCATCAGAGGTCTAGCCGTTAGGGCTTACTTCGAAACGCCAGTTCTCCGGAAGGCCTTCGAACCATGATTCAAGAAAGACTTTGCCTTTAAAAATCACACACGGAGGGAGGGCCTAACCTGAAGCATTCGTACACTTAATTATAGTCACCCATTCACGATTTCCAGGTTATAAAACTCCTCTTCGACTAGGTAAATCACTTCTCGTAATAACCTTCATAGTTAAAACCACTCCCATAGCGAAACCAGTCTCATCGAAGTTATAGATATCGTCGGGGTCGATTCTAAATTAAAGGATTGTCTTTTGAACCAGATTAAACCACTCTTGAATGATTTTCGGGTCTTCGCATTTCGCACGCTCGTAGTTATACCGTTTTGAGAATCGGGAGGAGAGGAGAGGATGCCGTTGTATAAATTTCGTAACCCAGTTTTCGCCGACCGAAAGAACCGGGGTAGTTCCACGCTTTTGAAGAAGAAGATCCGCCATTTCTCGTACCATAGAGTGCCGGGGGGCCCCTCCACGAGAATCCATAGAGAGTATCCATTTTTGAAGAGATTCCTCCTCGAGTTCTGTTAATATATGACTATTGGCGCGTGTTTTAGGACGAAAGGTATCACCAGCGAGGCGGCGTTGTAAGGTAGAGCGGGGGACTTCGAAACGGCGCGCCACTTCACGAATTGAAGAGATTTCTTGATTCTTAAAAGCCTGGATAGCTAGTAAGATCCTACCCTCTTGCTCTATTGAATTTCTAGAGCGTTGAGAGCGAATTGGTGGCATGGTGGGTGGTTGAAGAAGAAGGGGTTAAATTAATTGACGCGTTTTGGATAGGTGGCCCACTCGGTAGTGGTGGCCCACTCGGTAGTGAAATACGTTATATTACTTCTTCTTCACTTAGTGTGACTATCCCTTAATCTCTCTAATTAAATGTTATTACTAGTTCGTACCCTCGCTCCACGAAGAAAGGTGACTTCTTTATCGTATCCTAAGGTAAAATTAATGCTATAAAATCAACCATCGGGAGAACCTTAGACTAGTTATCTTAGTTCTGCTTAATATACGGACGTAGTCGCTGTGCTATATACTGATTAGCGATCTCACTCTGTCTATCCGTTTAGGGGTGGTATGCCGTTAATAACTTTCTCTTAATTCCGAGAATCCTACAGAATTCGGTCCAGAACTTAGAGATAAATTAACCGCCTCTATCCGATATAATTATTTCTGGGATGCCTATCGTCCGAATGACATTATTAATGAAAAGTCGTGCTATCTTCTTCGCGTCTATATCCTTATGGTAAGGAATAGATATTAGTCTTTTACTTAGGCGATCGACGACTATAAAGACCGCGTCGAATCCGTGACGATCCTTCGGGAATAAACGGAAGTCTATTAAAATATGCTACTAGGGTCTCTCCGGAATAGGAAGTGGTCGTAGTAGTCTAGGCGTACGATCCCTCTATGCTTTTATTCGTTTATATAATAGGTAATTATCGATATATCTTTTTACGTCAGTTACCTATCTAGGCTAATGATATCTATCTGAGACTAGCTTCTTCAGTTTCTCGATACTAGGGTGCGCTATTAATAGCTGCCGATAGATATCGTTAAGTAAGCGTGCACGGAGATCTCCTTTATCGGGAACTTTAAGTCGTCCTTTGAATAGTAATAACCCATTATCTAGAGACCATTTAGGATTACCTCCATTCGCCATAGTTTATCGGAACTCGTTAAGATCCGTGTTCTCACGATTTACTTTTTTAATTCGTTCAGTGATTTCTAGAGTCGGCTCCTCCTCCTAGATTAGCGCTAGGTTCACGGGTAAAACCCCTTCCTCGAGACAGTGCCGTGGTAGCATAATAATTTATCGGCTATTATCCACATAGGGGGATTCCTTTCGTGATAGCACGTCTATAATAATATTCCTCTTTCCTGGTCGATATTTAATTTTAAAGTGGAACTATGACAGGAATTCACTCCATCTAACTTATCGTTAATTCATTTATCGAGTTATCATGAAATATTCGAGCGACTAGTGATCCGTGAGGATTTCGAAGCGTTCCTTACGCGAGAGACCTTTAAGTTTAGGTCTCCATTCTTATAGAGCACGTATAATGGCTAGAAGCTCCTTATCCCGCACTTCGTAATTTAGTTCTGAAGCTTATATTATTTTCGAGTAAAAGGCGACCGGGTGCCAGAAATTATCGTCCTTATAGTACTGGGATAGAACTGCTCCGAGAACTCTATCTAAGGCGTCTATTTTAATCCGAGTCTAGCGCTCCGGATCGTAATGCCGGAGCACTATCGCATCGACTAGCTTATCCTTTAGGAGCATAAATGCCTCCTCATAACCGCTTATCCATTCGAATAGAATATCTTATCTCGTTAACCGGTGTAATGGCTTTAAGATAGCACTATAGTTTCGTATAAAGCGTCGGTAGAAGTTATAGAATCTAAGGAACGACTGTACTCCTTTCACTATAGTCGGAGCTTACTAGGACTAAATCACTTTAACCTTCTTAGGGTCCACAGCGATACTATCTATGCTAATAATGAACCTAAGGAACTTTATTTTCGTAATAGAGAATTCGGACTTATGTAGTGTAACTTAAAGACCTACTTTCTATAACCGCTAAAGCACTTCACGAACTTATCGCTGATAATCCTCGATATTCTCACTATAGATTAAGATATTATCCACGAAAGCTATAGCATAGTCATCTAAACATTCTCTGAGTACGTCGTTCATAAATCTCTAAAAGGTTACTAGTCTATTTATTAATCCGAATGGTGTCACTTTATACTTAAAAGATCCATATCTCGTACGGAATATAGTGAGGTCTTCTGCACCTAGGGTTAAACGGATCCGGTAGAACCCTTACTAGATATCGAGTTTCGTGTAGATCTTAGCTCTGCTGGTTCGCTGTAGTACCTCATTAATTAAAGGTAGAGGGTAATAATCCTTCTTTATAATTATATTCAGCTTCCGGTAGTTAACATAAAATCGAAGACCTCTACCGGGCTTCCTTACCATTAGGATTAGGGATGCGTGTGGTACTAAGCTAGGAACGATAAATCCTTTTACGAGGTTATCGAGGATATATTTCTTAGCTGCCTTAAGTTCCTCTAATAATAGCTTATAGAGGGGGCAGTATCTAGGTTAAGCTTCTGCCTTAAGTACGATATCGTGATCCACTTTAGGTCTATAAGGTGGTAACTCGTCGGATTTCTTTTTCGAAAAGACTTCTATAAGATCGTGATATTCCTCGGGGAGTGTTTATAAAATCTCGTCGATCTTAGGGTCTCTTATCTAGGCTATCTTAACATCGATAATATAGTCGATTTCTTCGAGGGAGGTGGAGAAGATCTCGATCCCTTTATCGGTTTTACTTCTTTCTTATAACCGGTCGAATCTAACACGTCCGATCGTGTTAATATTAATTAGAACTAGTGCCTCTTTTTTCTTCGTGGTCACTAGCCGAGTTTCGTCATTAATATTCCGAGCCATCTTCCGCTGCTCTTCGACCCGCCTATGTCTATACTACCTTTCTCTAGCATAAGGATAAATCTTCCTCTATGGCTGCTTACGTACTTCTATTTCGAAAGCACTATCCCGTCGTTCTACGTCTACCTAGTGACCATTACTATCCTTTAGTTTCTGGAGAATAGTCGTCGGTGTTAGGACTACCATCTTACTTAAAACGTCGTTAAAAAGAGTTTATTCATCGGGCCATATCATTCTATAACGACGATAGTCGAGTAGAACATTATGTTCTGCGAACCATTTTCGACCTAGGATTAGGTCATACTTTCCGAGGTCCGCTAGGAGCATAGGAACTTATCTTTATATTCTCCCGTCTACGCATATAGTGAGAAATGCGACGTAGGTAATTAGTTCACCGGGTGTACCATCGAATCTTCGAACTAGGCATTCTTAACCTAGTCGTTCTACCTAGATTCCGAACCGTTTACCTAGTAGAACGACTATTACTAAGTTAATAAAAATATAACTATCTGCTCTAGTATCACTAAGTGCTAAAATAGAAAAAGAACGTCCATTATGTATTAGCTGAGTATTAAAAACTAGGCTATCTCGGGGACCTCCGATTAACTTCTATAAATCTAGCGAATAAAGTGATACTTTACGACCACCTAGGTAGGAGACTTCCCCTAGGCACTAGCTTTTCCCTAGTCGGCTTTAAGTTCCTAAATTTCGATAACACGAGGGGTCGGAGTAACTACTACCGCAGTGGCGGTGTTTAGTTTCTTCTTAGGACATTCTCGAGTCATATATCCTTATTCCTTATAGTTAAAGCATCGACCTTCCTTCATAAGGGTTTCTCGTTTAGTAGTAGATAAACTAGTGAATCTAGAGCTGCCTTCACGCTTTACTCGAGGGACGTAGGTTAAAACGGTGGTAGTCGCTGCTCCACTACCACTGCTTATAGAGGGTGCGCTAGTACGGGCACGGAAAGCGGACTTAGACTCTTACTAAAGGTTAATCTCGTGCGATATACTCTGATAGTTCTGTGTGAAAGTATTAAATGGAACCGAGCCCTAGTTAACCGCCCACATAACTTAACTCTGGAGTAAGTAAGGGAGCTTCGAATATAAGTCGCGCTTTCGGTTCTCCTCGACCACGATAGCTTCTTCAGCGAGTTATATGAATTCAGCAAGGAAGTCAGTGAAACTATCCTTTAGTTTCATTTTTAGCTTATGGTATACGGTGTAAGCTTCTGCACGACGGTTTAGGTTCGTAAAAACGGTCTTTAAATGGGCGATCATATCATCTGCGTCGGTGTATGGGATACCAGCGTTAATTCTTAGACGGGGTGTAATGTGGAGCTAGGCTTTCCCTTCATAACGACTCTGAACATAGAGCTTACGGTGAACTAGTAAAGGGTAATGGTCGGCATTTACTTCGAGTTTCTGTCGGATAACAGTTTCCCAGGTTTCGAAACGGACTTCTTTGCCATCGCTAAGCATTAGAGCGTTAGGCATCTTTATAGACTTTCGGGTAGCCACGGCCTCCGTCACCGGTGCGCCGGAACTAGTCACATTCGAGTTCTGTAGATTAACGAGACGGAATGCGAGGTCACCCCGTTCACGGATTACGTGGTCACGATAAGTAATTACTTCATCGCGTTCCTAGGTGAGGGACTCGATAACCATATTAGTCTCCACTTTATCAGCTTAAAGGATTATGATTTCATCCTAGAGATCCTGGATTATCATTTATAACTTCTTATATTAGTTTGCGAGTTCATGGAAACGTTCACGACTCGGGGTCTTCTGCAATCTTTCGCGCATAGAGGGTCCTTCACCTCCGTCATCGTCTTCGTTATCTTCATCGGTGTTAACTAGTCTTAGAGGATCAGGGGTCGGGGTCTTCGGATCGAGAGCGTCATCTTCATGCTCATAGGTTTCATTATCGGGCACCATAACTGCAGGGTGCTTGCCACGGTTAGCAGGGGTCTTCTTCGGCGGAACCATTCTGACTGGTTCGGGTTTCGGTTTAAGTCTTGGCTGTACGATGCCAAGGAACGGGAAGTGGGGACGAAGCGGGACTGAGATCAATCACAATGATGATCTGTACAGTCGTACTGCTTCTGGAAATGAGAATGGTACTTAGTATTATGTTACGAGCCAGTTCTTTGAACAAAAGAGTGCATTTAACTAAGAATACTAAGTACAGAGGGGAGAAAGAAAGAGAAGGAAAGCATTGGTGGGCTGCTGGGATTTGTGGGTCGAGGGCCCCAGCAGTGCAAACCTTGCAAACAACAACTCGCTCGCTTGACAATAACCCCAAATAGGAAGGAAGCAAGCACGAAGCACGTGGATCGTCACAAAGCGACTAACATATATGCGTCGTATAAGGGATAAAATAGTATAGAATAATCTAATGGTTCTCAGGCAATTAAATAAATTCGAAGGTAAGGTAGGAGCCATGATTATCTATAAGAAGAAGCCGAAAACCCGTCTTTACACAGCGCCTTCTGGTGCTTTATTCGAATGATTAAAGCCACTAAAAGGCTATAGTATCATTGGTTTAACCATTAGGTGTAATCTAGTGGTCGTTGGGGATATTAGTAGACTAAGGTGGCGTTACCTAACTATCGGTAGTAATACATTTAATTAAAGTAAGCGATTTAGCGGGCCCGCTAGTTCTATTACTAGCAGATTAACCAGCTTTGGTTAAAATGACTCTTCGAGGCTTTCCCTCGCCGATTTTAGAGCCGCTTTCGTTAAAGCTATAGATATTCTTTAACCCGATGTAGCGGGCCAAAGCCCGGCCTGGATCACACGAGGCACATGCCCATAACATACATAAACCTCCATCGACGGTAGATAGTTACCTTTTCTTTAAGATTGATATAAACAGCATGTTAGCCTAGCCTAATTGAGTCAATAAAGCTACAGCCCTTCATATATATTAATCTTCCGATTCTTATCGTAAAACCATCAGACCCTAACCGAGAAGCCCTAGAAGCGATAATTCCTAGGCATAATAGAAGGGTTACCCCTAAACCGAGATGATTTAGTAACAAAGGACTAACGGAACACACTAATAACCATAGATAGAACCTTAGACTCAGCAGAATGCTCCCCTCACCCTAGGTAGAGACTATGATATAATAGATAATAAGGAATTAATAGGCCTATAGTGAAGCGATAGAGTAGTTCACCACCTCCTGATAGTGGATCGTGACCGCATAAGAATAGTATACGATAACCTAGGAACGACTCTCCGCCGTATAAGGAGAGCGAATCCGCCGCCTCGAAGAGATACTAGTATATATAATAAGGCGTTAATAACCGAACCGACGGGAATACTAGCGAAAGGGTCACGGAGTAAGTACTAACCCCTACCGAAATGCCGTTTAAGTATTAGAGAGCCCTACTACTAAGTAAGAGCGAGACTCCCTAACCTAGTGTTATTCGTAGGAAGCGTAAATAACTAGCCTATATAGCGTATTATAATAACTAGAAAATACACTAGTAGTTAATGGCGAGGCTATCGGAGCTATATATAAGTAATTTATATACGTGTTCTCCTAGTTAGAAAAGCTCGCCTAGAAGAACACCGGAACGTATATAAAACGCCGACGAAACGATAATAGCCCGGAGGAGTTACTAGACTATCTAGAGAAGATACACGGAGACCCGAATGCATAGGCCTAAGCCGCCTACCGCCTTTATTAGGTTAGTTAATCTAAAGGTATAGCTTTCTTAAAGTTCCTACCACGGCTAGAAAGGGAGTTCGCCGACGCTAGAGCTTTAAAATGGCCCGACGAGGCTAAATAATAAATCCTACTCGGATCTTTAAACCGAACTATAAGTAGCTCGCTAATAAATCGTGGTATACCCACTACCTTTTAAGGCTTAATCTCCCGTCTTCACGAGATTAGTATAGATAGATATAGACGCGCTAAATATAAGTAAGCCGTCCTCCCGCCGTTCTGCGAAATCTATAGACGAGATAGATTAGACCCCGACGGTATTAGTGAACCGCGTCGATCTATACGCGAATTACTGACGAAATAGTCGCGAATGTCACGAGCGACCGAAGAGAGCCTAATGGGTTAGCGAAGAAGAAATAGATAACCGCTAGGAAGAAGGCCGCTGCCTCGGCTATAGGAAGTCTAGCTACTAGATTATAGAGTGCCCTCTCTCACCAGTAAGACGACTAGAATAGAAGAGCCGTATTATTATAGGAACGTCGAAGAGGAAGGAAACCCGTGATAGTGATAAAACATCGTTAAAATCTAAGCGAATCGCCCGGGTAAAGAAATCGCGAGTAATAGTCGAAGAAGACACCGAACCTAGTTCGGTAGAGGAGAGCGTGCGTACCGATAGCGAGGTAGAAAACGAGTAGCTCCTAGTCTTAGCCGCGAGTAGGAGCGAAAGGGGGTTAAGAAACTAGACCGAAGCGAGGAACCACCGTTCCTAGTTAACGTTAGAGTGAATAGAATCTAGACTTCGGCAGAACCCATTTTGGGTCGGAGTCTCCGACCCAAAACCCAACCCATTGGGTTTTGGGTTCCGCCTTCCATAACCCAACCCAACCCAAAACCCAATGGGTTAAACCCAATAACCCAATAATAACCCATTTGAACCCATTTTGGCATAAAATATGGGTCTTGGCGTTCATAACAATGCTAAGTCATCGAACAAAATTACTGTTTTTTACAACTGTTCCGGTTTGTCTGTCGAACATTGCTACATTATCACAGTAATAAGTTAGAAATTTTATATAATTACTTTGAATTTAAAGCCAATTTACTTCATATTATATTAATTACTAATAAAAATTGAGATTAATCATGGTATAGTGGTGTTCTATCAATTTATACATTTATTAAATGTAGACTGTTAGAAATATATAGTAGTGGCAGAGGTGAGTCTATACATATTTAAACATAAACATGAATAGAAATAGAAATCTCTTAATCTTAATTTATTTTCTATATAATTAATATCATTTTAAAGCTAAATATCTCTTTTCTTATATTCTTAATTAATATATCTAGTAATTAATGTACTATGTAAATTAAGGTGGTTTATAAATGATCTCTATACGCTTATGTGTACTCCAGATGAAATATTTCTGAGTGATCTTCGGGGGGAATGGGTTATGAATGGGTGCTCTCGGGTTTTAATGGGTTATTAATGAGTTATTAATGGGTTATATTGGGTTTTGATGGGTTTTAATGGGTTATGATGGGTTATAATGGGTTATGATGGGTTATGATGGGTTATGAATGGGTTCTATTGGGTTCTGTTAGGTCGGACCCATTTAAATATAGCTTATGTAGCCAATTAATTAATCTTATATCTTATATCTTTTAATATATCTACTTTACTTAGCCTATTTACGTGTCTATTGTCTGAAACCCCCTTTTTATAAGTATATACTCCCTCTGATTATCCCCCCTTACATCCCCTGCAGTATTCATCTTTATAATAATCATGTCCTAAAGCTAGTATTCTGACTTCCTACCTACCCTTTTCGATGGGGATACAGATAACCTTAGCTATCTTATTCCCTCTTCTCGGGCTCTAACCCCACCTGGTAGCTAACTCACAATCGAGCCTTTTGATGCTATTAATACCGACTTCCTTCGGCCCTCTAACCTTCTACCGATCCCACCTTCTCTTACCCGCGTTAGCCCCGATCGGAGAAAGGCATATGTGCTTTATGACGATATGGCATATAAAGAATGGGTTGACTGGTGGCTATAAACCGACTATGGGCAGAAAAGCAAGCTTTCCTGGGACTTAAATCGTAATTCAAATATATGGAGTAACTTCGACTAAGTTGCCTATACCAAAGATGGTGCGCTAAAGGTGATGTGTAAGCGCTGCTTAAAAATCCTGGAGTATCCTCATTCTCTATCGCCTAGTGGTAAGGGCTATTATGGCACATTAATAATGTTGAAGCATTTAAAGACAGCAGGCTGTCGTAAAGCTCAGCAGGGAGGGAAAGGAGAAATTACTAGGTTCCTTTAAAAGGTAGTAAACCCTTATATTTTATTTAGTTATCAGGTTTTAGTAACACTCTTAGATACATAGGATAACGGCCAATCGGAAGCTCCTTTTTCACAGTCAGTTTGGGAAGAGTATCTTCTTTAATTTCTTACCCTTAATCGACTTCCATTCCACCTTATTAAACATCTAACATTTCATAAGCTATTCCGATTAGCCCGCTCTGCACCATCCACCCCCCTAATACCCTCCGCTACTATAATACGCCGTCGCCTCCGTGATATCATTACAGAACGACAGAAGTCTATCCTCTAAACGCTACCTAACGACGCAAAAATCTTAATTATATTGGATTGCTGGACTTCTCCATATAACCAGGCGTTTATGGCTATCACTGGCTATTTTGTTAATAGCAATTAGGTATACTAAGAGGTTCTACTTGGATTTAAACCACTTCATGGCTCTCATACTGGTTTAAATCTAAGTGGTATAGTCCTTGAAACTCTAGGTAAGCATCATATCTAGGATCGGGTATTTAGAGTCATAACTGATAACGCTACCAATAATAAGACAATAGTTAATGCTATATAGCAGGCGCTCTCTAGCGATGTGACAGTAATCCGAATACCCTGTCTTGCTCATGTTATCCAGCTATGTTTAAACTAGCTCCTTGATCGTCTGAAGGCTATTCCTCTAAATGAGAATACAGAAACGAAGTGGACTGACCAGAAGTTATCCGCAGCAAAGGCAAATGCTCGGTATCAGACACAGAGGATCTCATATACCTTAAATAAGGTCCGCTATCTTGCTGTGTATATCCATGTAAGTCCCTAACGCCAGGCGGCCTTTCTCCGACTTTAAGAAAAGGGACCCCAGCTTATTCTAATCCAGGATGTGAGGACTCGGTGGAATTCTACATTCCTAATGCTTCGTCGTGCAAAGAAACTACGCAGTTTCTTCCAGCCCTTCTGTGAGGAGTATGACTGTGAGGAGATGTTGCTTAATAA